GCACAGTAGTTAGCATTACAGCCTTAGCCTTGTAATTTTTATTAGCCTTAACATGAAGTAACATTAAGTAACCCAACATGTTAAACATTAAGAGTAGTAGTCATATTTCATGAACCCTTTGAAGAGTAGGCTTCTGTCACACCGGTGTGGTATATTCTATAATACACCGTTTAAGCCCGGATGCCCCCGGGGGAGAAATGCTAACGCTAACGCTACGTTAGCGTCGGCTATCTTTTCTACTTCATGCTATCTGCACAAATGGTTAACATTGAACATTAAAAATATCAGGCAGTTCAGAGAGAATCGAAGGAAGGCAGGCAGGCAGCCAGCTTTGCATGACATTCTTCTGGACGTTCACATTGTGGTGATAGTGAGGGTAGTCAATCCCTTTTTAGGCAAGACAGTAGTGACGGCCATCTTGGTGACGTGTGTTGTTGTGCGAGACCAGAGATTAGTTCATTAAGCGGTTTCACTCAAAAAAAGTCTTACTTCACAGTTTTACGGCAAAACATTTTTATTTTTTTTGACCCGCTAAATTATCTTTTAAATTGACAACCATCATATGTGTAATTCGTGGCACAATTCAAACGGGATCGAAAGATAAGTTTTATCTCGCCATTGACTTCAATACATAATTCTTCCAAAATAAGATCCCATGGAGGTCCACCGGAAAGGGAGGGACTTTGCCTCTAAGGCTTTTAAGGCTAATAAAAATGACAATGCTAAGGCTGTAATGCTAACTAACGTGCTCACTTACGCGACTCTGGGATTCGTAGTCTTTCTAGTTGCGTATTTTTCATAGTCTTATATTTCAACAGTTTTACGACAAACTGTGACTTTTTTAACATGGAAATTATTTTTTAAGATTGACAAAAATCATATGTGTAATTCATGGCACAGTTCAAATGGGATCGAAAGATAAGTTTTCTCTCCCGATTGACTTTGTCACTACCCGATCCGCATCCCTACCCGATCCGCACTGCGCATGTGCGAGATGGTCCGCCATATTTGACAACTACATACGGCAACTCAAATAGGACACTTGACACAGTGGCAATATTAATCTGAACGAGAGAGATGAGTTATTGTTATTACAACATGACTTCACTATTATTTAACAACTCCTTTTATTGGGTCCTTTTATTGGGTTAAGTACATTGTCAGAATAAGTGAGAAATTGATTTAACTTCAGTTAGAAAGCTATCATACTGAAGAAATATTGACTGTGAAAGTATGCAATATGTATGGCTGTCATAATTTATATCTAATTTCATTAACTGTGAATGTCCTTCATTTTATTTCAAATAAAATAACATAAATTATATTTGTATAGATACTTGAGAAGTTTATGACTCTCGCATGCACAATGCAAATCAGGCAGCCGTATAGACGTCAAATGTCCTATTGGAGTTGCCGTATGGAGTTGTCCAATATGGCGGACCATCTCGTACAAGCGCAATGCGGATCGGGTGGGGATGCGAGTCGGGTAGTGACAGACTTTAATACATAATTTTTCCGAAATAAGGTCCCATGGGTCAGAAGTAGATGGGCGGGACTTCACCTCTCTATTATCTAGGCCTTCTGTGGTTTCAAAGTCATGTGACCTGCCTAGTCATTGAATGTGATAGGATGCAGGTTTTTTGTTTTGTTTTGTTTTTTAAATAAGCAAAATAAAGGAGGAAGACACAACTGTATTTTATAACTACACAAATGAATAAAGAGGTCTTCATTACTAAAATATAGTGTATAAATGTACAATAGACTGAGGCTATGATTTATATCTGTCTGCTGTTAAATACTTTATAATAATCTATGCCTACTGGTTTCAAAGTCACATGACCTGCCAGATGTTTTGATGTAAAGAAGATAAAATTAACATTTGACCTTTGTTAGTTTTAACTAATAAACTAATAAATATCAGCCTAGCTTCTCTACTATTTCTATGTTCTTCAAATCATTTTTAAATTGTCTTGACATAATATGACTGAAGGTCTTTAAAATTCTATGAATACAGTTTCACTCATATTCAACCCACAAATCAAAACCTTAAACAAGTTGAAAAACATGTCAAGCATTAGCTCAAAGTTGCCTTAACTCAAATCTCTATTTCTTATCTATGGTTGTGCACAAATAGCTTCAGAAATGTGCAGTTACGGCTATGCTATGCACAGTTCAGTTATGCTGATATAAAACATGACAGCAAAATCACAGAAACATGACATTCAGTTTGATAAGAGTTACTCTGACCTAAACGGATCTCATGTATTAAAAAAAACCTTTAAACGGGCTCCAACAGTGAATCTGATAATGAATAAAAAAACAGAAGAAGACACAGGCATGTCTGCTGTGTGTGTTAATGCTGCCAGTCCCACCTGCACAATCATGTTAAGTGCAACTCTGCAACTAACAGGCTGGTAATGGCAGCCGAGGCAACACTTGTGTCACATATGTCTATGCTTTAGAATATATTGATCACCCCTCCATGATGGGGGGTATCATAGGATACAGATGACCCCCGACCAAGGCAAATCGTTGAATCAGCATTAAGAGAGATAGTTAACGTTAGCTGTTAGCTGTTAGCTATTAGTTGTTAGCTGTTAGCAGCCAGTGGGCATTAAACGGAGGTGCCATTGATTAAATTATGCTGAGTCAAAACTTTATTCAGTATATATTTTGAAGGTACGTTATACCGTTATCATGATGTATTCAAATCTTTGATACTTTGAACTTGATTCAATACCGCTGTTTAGTAGAATATAGTAGTATATAAGTAGATATTTTCACAGGAATATCAAACAGATATCCGGGCCAGGCCATGTCATTCAGCTGGTGTTTGGGAGGCTATTAGCTGTTGGCTTTTAGCTTTTAGCTGCAACCTTTTAACTGTTAGCTTTTTGCTTTTTGGTGTTACCTGTTAGCTTTGAACTTTTTGCTGTTTACACTGACTTTGGGACTACCAGGGACCAGACTTTACCCAGTCCCTGGTAGTCCCAATGACAGTGTGTACCAACATAACTACAGTAATGAACGATTTTGCTTCTTCTTTTGGAGTTGGAATTCAATTAAAAGAAATACTTGGGGAAATGTGGGAAGATTGAACCCTCAAGGCTAGTCTGATGTAGCTGTCATCTTAGATGGCAGCTTTAAAATGCGCTCAAAGTCATCAGGTTCTCCTGCTGCAGATTGGTCTGGTAAAGGCTGCAGCCTGAAGTGTCATTGTGTTTTAATAACAAAGCTTGAGGCATTGAAGGAACATTAAGGTTATAGCTCTACAACCAGATTTATAAATACAATTACAGACTGTTTTCAGACCATAATGTGTTACCTCAAGGCATTTCGAAAGGTAATCTGCATCCCTGCATAATTATTTGGCTGATACACATAAAATGGCAAAGTAAAAACCCATAAGTGTGTGTTGCACAATGTGGTATTTATTCTTATCTTTAGTTAATGTTCCTTTCCATGTGCTTGTACTCTCGCATTTCAGAGTGCACCCCATCTAGTAGATATTTTAACTATTATTTAACATAGTTGTTAAAGATTATTATACCATGACAATGAAAAATAGATCGGCCTGAGTTTCAGAGAGTTTATTCCTCAAAAATATAGAAAACCTTATTATGCATGCATCCGTTACTTCCCCGTGCTGCTTTGTACACACAGAGACATGTAATCAACACTTGCTGTATGTTTCCCTTAAATTAACTGTAATTTCATTTTGTTATAAAATGACAAATTCTAAATATGAGACTGATAGTATTTGTGGTTTTATTTTCCCGGTGATAATGATGACGACGGTCATGAAAATATTTATCATAGTGATTGAAGTGACTTACCTATCTTTGTCACAGCTGTGTTTAAGTTACATTTGTCAATATTCTTTCCAGCACTTACAGTTATGAAGAGTATAAGGAGACAGCAGACTGGCTGCTGGCCCACACAGAGCAGCGTCCTAAAGTAGCGATCATCTGTGGGTCGGGCCTGGGGGGCCTGGGAGAGCTGCTGGGTGACAGGAATGTGTTCCAATATAAAGATATTCCACATTTTCCCACCAGCACTGGTAAATTGAAAAACTGCTTTTTCTATAGAACATATTACTAGTGTTGAGAAATAAAACATAAGCATGCTAGCATCTGCTCATACTGTATGTTGTTTGCAGTGCCAGGCCATGCTGGTCAGCTGGTGTTTGGGAAGCTGCAGGGCCGTGAGTGTGTCTGCATGCAGGGGAGATTCCATTTCTACGAGGGCTACAACATACAGACGGTAAGCTACAGCCACTGCTGCAACTGCTTGGTACTTTTTATTCGTAAGGCTAAGACAGTGTTTTTGCTAGAGATGAGCTGTAAATGAGGTAAAAAGTCCAATGCTGTACTATTAGATGTGCTATTCTATAATTTTTTTGATAAAAACTGCCAACATATTAATCTTCCAGGTTCACCATCTTGGTTTAGCCTGTAGCATGGTAATACTTGCTAGTTAGCCGTAAACAAGGAGTACAGCTAAAGCTGATGAGATTGTCATTAGTTTTAGTGCTGAAAAATGCCCAGTTTCTTCAAGTCCAAGGTTATGTCTCTTAGTATGTCTCAGGTAAAAACCCACATATAAACCTTAAATAATAAAAAACTGAGAAAAACATGAAATTATTTATTAATTACACAATTGTTAAAAAAGTGCTCTTAACCAAAGTTGGGAATCCACCACTGGTTGGTCAGATGGTTGGACCACTATTAATAATGTTCAAGATATATAAAGGCTCAATGGGTTAAAACAGAGCATTGTCATTATTGCCCTAGAAACTACACAAGCTGACTTCAGTGACACCGAAACCACCAATGCAACCAAGGCTAGGTAGCTAGTTAGCATTCCAAATTGAATTTCACATTAAATCATTTATTTAAACTCCCAGACAACAGCATTACCCACAATGTTATGTACCTGCTGACCAGTGATAGCACACATCTCAGAAAGCTACAGGAGGCTGGACTGTTTATAGCATGTGCTAGAAAAGGTTGACCCAACAAACAACAACAGATTAGAAAAACGAGATTCAACAATGCCCGGGCTAATATGATGTTACCAATTTGTTTTTGCATTATACAACAGCATTAACACAAACAAATATAACAGTTTAGAATAAATAAAGGAAATGCATACAAAACGTTTTTTGAAACCATGCGCAAACAACTGAGAGTATCTTTGGATGTATTGCTGCCGTAACCTTTAAGATGCCAATGCAGAGCCAACAACTGTTACTGTTCAACCATACACACATCCTGCTCATATAGATCCTGCTAGCAGTAGCCCGAGGCAAACAGCACTTCATAGCACTTAGTTGCAGCTCTTCAGAAAAGTTGTTGATTCTGACACCAATGCTTGTTTTGAGAAATGTTAAATAGAGGTTAGATGTTAAGTATAACGGTAACTCTTTCTTTGAGCCTCCCTCTGCTCACCCTCACAGATTTCTAAACTTAGTTAGTATTAGGTACTGTAGTGCTACAGTACATGCTTGTGTTTTCGGAATAACTTTTTTTTTTGTTCTCTATAAAACTGTAGCCTTATACTACAGACTGATATTTTGAGTTTCTCAACACTGTATCCTAGCAGTACCCAGTATATGAAATGTTTAGGGGAACATATGCACAATAGCATAGGGGCCAATAGTTTAGGGAAGGATTAGCAATTTGTTTTGCCTTCATTAACCGTCACAAGAATCTGAGACGGAAATAAAAACCTTACTGATGCAAATGATATACTATACAGAATAACAGCACACAAGCTGGCAGTTTAAACTCTGACTATGTCAATAACTTGGAGAAAAACAATCTTTAAACCATGCAAGTACAAACACTAACTCTGTTATGCTTGTCACAGAAAGAGGCTCTTCACAAGACACACCATTCAAATGTCCTCATTCATTATTCATTGTGCCAAAAATGTACAGTTCCAATTTGAAGTTAGTTATAGTTTTATACTTACTTTATATCAAACTGCAGGTGACATTTTTCAAATTGGACTTCCTTTTGTATCATTTTACATACCCTTTCAAATAAAACTGCTCGTACAAACATTTAAGCTTTTATCTATAGCGCAATCATGATTTTGTCATCTTATAATACGATTTTGTTTAAACCTGGTCTATAGCAAACTAATTTTGCTCACTGTTATTCTAAAAATGTACTTTGTGCGCTGTATGATCAGCTGCAGAATCATGATGACAATATGAAAACCACATAGTGTGTCATAGTGTTGATATGTGATCAGCCTTTGGCCTGTGGAGACACTGTATGCTGGCTTTATCTATTTTATCACCGGCCGTGATGTGCCATCTCCACACAAAATGATCCATATAACCCAACTGAATCATAAAGCCAGTTTCATACAAAGAGAAATGAGTAACAGAAAGCAGATGCAGTATGAGCTTCCTGTTTCCAGCTGGGACTTTAGACAGCTTTATAATGTGTTTCATTGCCATGAAAAATATTTGATTCAGCCAAAGCCAATAGTGGTACATTTTACCAGACAATTATGCTTTCATGGCAAATTGAACAAATCTATAAATCAGATAAAATGTGAGTCAGTTATCATAACAAGCCCATGTTTTTAATTTATCCTCATTGAGTATAGAAAAATTACAAACCCATCAGCATCAGCTGTACTTTGTGGTTAGTGCTAATTAGCATGCGTTAGCTAGCTAAAATACTAAAATAAAATGGTTAGCCTGGTAAAAGTGACACCAACATTCTTAACACAAGCTTCTAAATGCTGAACATGTACTTGCTAGCATTTTCATTTTAGGCATGTTAGCATGTTGCCGTTAGCATTAGCTAACCAAGCCTGAGTCTGACCCAATCCTTCACTGAGCCACTAGCATGACTCTTAATGTTGATCTCTGCTGTTTCTGTGTGACTTTTCTTTCTCCCTCCTAATCAGGTGATATAAATAATAATTGATAGAAAACTAGCTTAGCAATTGTGTATAGCCATCCAGGAGG